TCATGTCAGCGATTTGTTTGTCCTACAGTGACTAGATCGTCAACAATAAAGTTGGTTTTGAACAGTTTCAGCTTTGAATTTGCTGGAGGCGTGAAAATAAAACGCGATTTATGCAGAGCACCACTTGACTCGTCGCATATTTTCAATACTTATCGAGAGCCATCAACGGTGCTCGTTTATTGAATTTAAAAAAGCGAAACGTCCTTGAGATTGTCCTTGTGAATAATGCATAGGTTTGTGCAATCATTGTCTAATAAAAACACATAGAATATAAGCGGTCGAATGTAAACACAACAAAATCAAACGTCTTTGAATTATATCCGAATTATGGCAGTAAACAAATGGAATCATATTCAGCACTTCATTCACGAATATGCTATATGAATTGAAACAAGCGAATTAGATTCTTCAACTGAGCACTAATGAGTTGAACGCAATACCAGTATTGACTAACAAGCGACACTTTGGAAAGTGGTTGCCAGTCGCATTGCACTTTGAAGCATTATATCACGTAGAGCATTCATAATCGGGAGATGGCTTGTTATCAATGCACATTGCTCACAATCAGTATATCTAAACTAAGGTAGCTTTACATTCAGTAAGAATTCTAACATTAAACTCAACCATTTCTACTAAAAGAAACGGAATGACATCTGAATATAGACTAATTTTCTAGTGAATAAGTGCTTACCTTACTATTCAACAACTGCACAACTTGTACGCACAAAGTGAGTGTTGGCGGCATTCATCGAATCATTGAAGAAAGATTTTTCAAAATGTAAACGATGAATACTCACAATTAGCCTTCAGAACCTTGAATAAATGAACTCCAACCCGATTATTTGCACATTTTCAACAAACAGTGAACAATATGGTAAACAAACTCCTCTCAACATTCCGAACAATACGGTTGATTCGAGCATTCAGGAGCAGTCACTGTCGTCCAACTGTCAATTTTGATTGTGTGAATTTTCAGTTTATGAAGTCAGTTTGCTGTACACTTCTTTGGGCGTTAATTTATTCTTCTAATTCTGCAATGCTCGTCATCATTTTTCCAGCCTGAGTAGATTCTGACGGTGCCGTAGAACCAAGCTGTTCCATCGANCAAGCTGTTCCATCGAATTATCCTTGGCAAACTTGCTCAAGCACGTACGGGCTTTTTCTCAACAATAAACTGAAAATCCCCTGCATACTGGATATTTTGATGTTCTTCCTTATCAAAAACAAGTCAATTCACTGAACGTGAAGAGAGTGGCATACGTGGCAATTTGATATGCCTGCTCTGTTTTAAAACTGATATGCACTCGATTATTTTCCGTTGAAGCTCGTTTGAATTTCAAGCTCGAACGAGGCTGATTTGAGCTCATTTGAATGAAGCTAGTTTCTCATTTAATTTGAATTTCAATTATGAATCGTAGATAGAAATACCGCTAACCATTAGAATACCGCTTTCAATCTTTCTGAGATGCCTTTCAAACTGAGACATCTTTCTCGACTGAGAAGGATGCCTTTCTGCAACACACATAATAAATTCTTTTTAGCTTTTAAGATGTTAATCACAATATTCATAACAATTACTATGTCAGTCAGATCGATTGCAAATGTTTCCAGTAAAACGGTTGGTTCATTACTATTGATTCTTGATCGTATCAGATGATTTTTTGAAGTGGAGATAAATGAAGACGAAATTCAAATGCTTCGACTATTGCACGTTTTCACTCCTTATAAATAGGCTAAATGCTTGCTTCACATTATGGATGGGATCACATTAGTTTTCAGGCTTTGGTCAGAAGTCGTCGTCAGATATCTTATGCAGGTTTGATGGACCCACTCATGAGTGCGTACGGACCCTTGATGGGAGCATCTGCTCCGTTCTGTATGCCAAAATGCATGCCATTGTGCTCACCAAGCTGTATGCAGCCTGGAATGCTACCGACGGGTTTACCTCTTCAGCAGATGCTCTCGCCGTGCATGAGCACATGCATGCCGTTATGTCATCCTTCATGCGTTAATCGACTATCACCTTCTTATCGTCCACAACCGTCAAGATCAACTCGCCGTATACCTCCCAGATCAGCTCCTCGAATTCCTCCATCATCATCATCATCACTTCTAGCACCACCAGAACTTCAGCTGGACTGCCCAGATCAGTGTGTACCCTACTGCACCCGTAAATGTATTCAACTAATGAATCGTATTATGCGTAATCCGATGCTACCAGTTACTCAACCTTTCATCAATAATGAGCGCTGCAATCCCACATCCCAACTGAATTGTAACCCACGGTATATGTCAGTTAGTCCACAGTATCCACAACGACAGGCATCTCCAGCATCTTACGACATGCCTCTGTATCGTCAGTTTCAAACACAAGATTACAATTTGGGTCTGTCCTCACCCAAATTCAACTATCAACCCCCTGCATATAAGCTAAATTCGGATTGCAAACGATCATGTGATGAACTTCCATGTGAAAGGGAATGCGTATCATCAAAATCGTCAACGGTGAATCTCTATACGTATCAAGACGATTCTAAACAGAGTGCAGTATGTGATCGTGATTGTATGCCATCATGTCAACCATCATGCACTTCCTCCAGACCACCTTCACTTTCACCAAAGCACACCAAAAAATGTATTGAGCAATGCATGCCTGCGTGCTCACCTTCTTGTATTCAATCTGTTCTGAGCGACGAAACAGATTCACCTCNTTCTGGATCCTAATCCGCCATGGTCGTCCTCGAAAACGAATACTGATTCATTAGATCATTTTACATCAGAAAATCTGAAGTCGACTTTCACATCATTTCCACAACCTCCATCAGTATCAGAGACAGCATCTTCACCTATCAATAAGTTCACCTCTTCTCAATCCAAGCAATACAAACAGCAGCCAAGCCCATGGCCCCACTTAGAAGATTCTTCCACCGCAAGCATCAAACAATCAGGCTTTCCTTCACCCTCTAGCCAAACCATCGCTAATTACAATCAGCCAGTACAGTCAACGTCCACTGCAGGCAACTTATTCACCGATTACGAGCCGTCCAAAGACCCCTTTCTATCTTCCGGAAATCAGTCTCCTACAAGTTCTGCATCCCAATTCGGATATCTCGCCTCCGAGAACAAAAATTCACCAGGGTCGACATCCCTTACCGGATATCTTCCCTCTGAATACAGCTTGTCAGGAAATACTCAGTCCCGCCCATGGTATTTACCTTCTGAATATACACCAGCAGCAGCCAGCATTCCCGGTCCTTCTGAAGATAAACTCTTCCGACCCAAAACCTGCACTCCCAAATGCATGCCAGATTGCCGACAGTCATGCACCAACCCCCAACTACCACGACTCTGCATAAAAATATGTATGCCTATCTGCTCACCACAATGTATTGCTTTCATTCAAACGTCAGCATTGATGCGAAGAGGAGAATAGGATAAATACTCGCCGTGCAATAAGGAAATGTTTTGGTCGTTGACATTTATTGTAATAATACAACTCAACCGAAATATCTCGTTGTAGAAAAAGAATAACTGTCTATGAGAAATAATAACTTGATGAAATAAAATTATTTACTAAACTGTGCATAACGCATAATAACACAGATAACAGCAACAACAAGAGCGCATTACGCTGAAGTTTCAATAGAAATGTTGCATTCCAATTCAAATTACACAGTGATTAACACAACAAATCGATTGCTTCAAATGAAACTTGTTACAATGCTCGTCTCATCATTGATTCACTGCATCCGGTTGTTGCGATGGATGACTCTTTTTGATTGCGTCGATGTCTTGTAATGATGCATCGATCCGTTTGATTACTGGATACGCATCCATGTTAACACCGAAACTAAAATTCACTTCGTTGTCATTTCTATTACTGGAAATATTTGCGTGCAAATGCATTCTGATAAATGANTAACACCGAAACTAAAATTCACTTCGTTGTCATTTCTATTACTGGAAATATTTGCGTGCAAATGCATTCTGATAAATGAAAGTGTGTCTTGAAAAAATTTCACACACAATCATCGGCGATGTCCAAAGTCAAAAGGAATGTTCGCGTCGACGTTACCTATCGAAAGAAGATCAACAACAAGTAACGTAAAAGTGATAACCGTATTGCGTTGTAAACTTGTGGTACTATACACACATCTGCCATTGTTATTGAATCACCGAATGCGTATTTCCCGCTGGTCTTTTCTAAAATTTGCTCAAGTTTTTGCAGTCCATCCTCAATCGACTTCTTTGCATATGCTTTACCAATCTCCGGATTACCGCACAACTTCGCTATTACACTTACGTTTCCCAGATTTTGGAGCGGTTGAATGCCGGCCACAATCTGAGAGTTCATTGGATAAACGATTTTGTTGAAATAATCCTTCATGTTGAGACTGACGCATCATTCGCGGCTGTTCAAAGGATGAAATCGGCGAACACCACACATATTACGTAAAATGTGCGGTTGACCAATATACATCACAATGGTTTTAACGTGAAATGCTAACTGCAGCGAAAAGTAGGACATCCAAAACTTAATGCAGAATTGATACCAAATACAAAGCTATGAGTTAAAGATAATACGGAAGCGATATCTGCGAACTAACTTCAAGAACGATGGCTCTCACTTTGGATCTTTGCATGAGATCTTTTGGAAGAAGAGGAGTCTTGTTTGGGTATTTCTCCTCTAAGTATTCCAAGATAGCCAAACTCTCGAAAATAATATCACCATCGATAGCAAGTGCTGGGACTTTTCCGAGTGGATTGACTTTTAAGAATTCTGCACCATTCTACAAGTATAGCGTAACACATTTAAATATTTCAACTTCAACTGCAAAGTTAATCATTCAACCCTTA